TTTTAAAAATTTTTGGATAAACTTTTTGAGATTTGTTTTGCGTCCTAACATACAATCAGTCAATCCTGGAGAACATTCCATATGCTGATGACAAGAATGTGTACTGTGCAGCTGTTGGATGAAATGTTCTATAAATGTCTGTTAAGTCATTTGGTCTGTGATCTAGTTTAAATTCCATGTTTCTTTGATGATTTTCTGTCTAGATGATTTGTCCTAGGCTAAGAGTGGGTGTTGAAGTCCCCAGCTGTTATTGTATTGGAATCTATATTTGCCTTTAGATCTAATGTTGCTTTATAAATCTGGGTGCTCCAGTGTACATGTGTATTTACAATTGTTATGTCCTCATGTTAAATTGATCCCTTTATAACTATAAAATGACTTTCTTCATCTTTTTTTTACAGTTTCTGACTTAAAGTCTGTTTTATCTGATATAAATATGGCTAATCTTGCCTGACTTTGGTTTCCATTTGCATTGAATATCTTGTTTCATTTTTTCACCTTCAGTCTGTATGTATCTTTACAGGTGAAGTAAGTTTCATGTAGGCAGCATATAGTTGGGTCATTTAAAAGAAAAATCCATTCAGCCAGTCTATATCTTTTAAGTAGGGAATTTAATCTATTTACATTTAAGGTTATTAGTGATAGGTGAAGACTTACTCCTGTCAATTTGTTACATGTTTTCTGGTTGTTTTGTATATCATTTGCTCCTTACTTCTTCTCTTATTGTTTATTTTTGCAGTTGAGTGATTTTCTGTAGTGATAAGATTTTATTGCTTTCTCTTTCTCCTTTGTGTATCAGCGCTACCAGGGAGTTTTATAGTTTTGCATGTTTGCATGATGGTGGCTATCATCTTTTCATTTCTATGTATAAGTCCCTTGAGCATTTTTTGTAAGGCCAATCTAGTGATGAATTTCCTTAGTTTTGGTTTATCTGGAAAAGATTTTGATCTTAAGAATTTTCTTAAGATTATTATTTTAAATTCTTTTTCTGACATTTTATATATTTTCTTATTATTGATGTTTGTTACTGGAGAATTATTGTTTTCCTTTGGAAGTGTCATGTGTCCTGTGGTCCTATGTTGAGTTCTATGCATCTAATGGAAAAAATGCCTCTTCCTATTTTATGGAGTAGTGTCACAGGGAAAGACTTATTTGTATGAATGGGTCTTGGGATGTCAGTTCAGTGGGTTGCGTTGGCTTTGGTTCTAAGTGGATGCAGTAGTGCAGTCTCCATGTAGTTTCTTCAGCATTTGCAAGTTTCTCAGTGGCCTGGGCTTAGAGAGTTTGTGGCATCAGTGGTGCAGTTTTGCCAGGGTTGGGCTCACCAGGCTGTTTCTCAGATCAGGGACAGACAGGCACATACACACAGTGGGTTGGCCAACCTGGGGTCTGGCTTGCTGGGTTTGGGGCCATGGGCTGTTAATGCAGCCGGGAGCATGATCACACAGTTGTTGTCTGTGAGTAGCAGCCTACAGAAATGTTTCTTAGGCCTGGTGTTTCTCAGAGTTATGCACCAGGGATGTGGGTGCACAGCTGCTTGGGTGCGGGTGATCTGCGGGCATGTTTACGGGGGGTGGCCCACAGAGCCATTTCCCAAATCTGGAACACTAGTGCAAGTCTGCTTGGCTGACTCAGGGACATGCCCACTGGGGACAGCCTGTGGGCTGTTTCTGAGGCCTGATATGTGGATACAGGGCTGCTTGGCAGCCTGGGGCATGTCCACCTGGGGGACTTATGGGGCTGTTTCTCTGGTCCAGGATAGGGGTTCTTGCCTGTTTGGCTGGCCTGAGGGCATGCCTGTCAGAAGCAACCTGCAGGATTGTGTCTCGGGCCCTGATTTTGGGTGCAGGGTCATTGGGCAGGCCAGGAACATATCTGTAGGGGATGGAGGCACTGTGGAATTGTTTCTTCATGTCCTAAGCACAGGCACACAGCCGTTCTGCTTGCCCAGGGGTATATCAGTTGTTTAGAGGTTCAGGGGTCTCTCTCACTTGAGGGTATGTATGCAGCAGTTTGGCTGGCTCAAAGGTGGGTTTTCCATGGATAAGACTGTCATACTCTCCCTCTGGCTAGAAGTGCAGCAGTGAGGGTTGGTTTCCCTGCTATGTGAGACCAAAGCCACAGCAGATCCTGGCCCAGGTTCTGCACAGGTGGTGTTGTGGTGTTCAGCCGCCACTGTGGGCTTCGTGGAATGGAGTTGGAGCCTTAGGGCTGGAGAGATGCAGAGGCTAGTGGCCCCACAGAGCAGGTTACTCTCCAGAGGTGGCTCTGATCTCAAGCAGCAGCTTGGCTCACAGGTGGTGATTGGGGAGTAGGAAGTGCATACCTTGTGCTCTTAACCTGGGGCAATGTAGCTGTGTGAATTTCTAGCAACTCCCAAAACTAGGCTCAGGGCTTGTGAGGACTATGGGATTCTCCTGTTGTAAGGACTGTAGGTGTTTTTGGTAGCAATGGGGGCTGGTGGGGCTCTTCTGCTTACCTTTTCCCTGCAATGGGAAGTCTCCCCTGACTCTGGGCAGATCTAGGCCACATGGGTGATATAGGTGCCTTCACACTGTCCTCCTGGACTTTCCATCACCACAGACATGTCTCTGTTCCCCAGCTGTCCTCCAGTGACCTTCCTTTGACACTGCAGTCACATCTTAGCAGTTTATTCATTGCTCTGGTCCTTTCTTGTGGGGGAAGGATGAATGCCAGGGGTCTCTAGTCAGCAATCTTGCTGACATTCACTCTCTGAGAATTTTCTATACTACCCCTTAATTGCTTTTTAAAATATTAAAGATTATAAGAATAACTTTAATTGTTAGGATGAAAAAGGCTCAGCAGGTACTGTTTCATTGGTCTCACTGTTATGATCACTATTAGAAATGATGAAAAAATGAATCCCTAAATAGCAAAAATCACGGAATTTTAAAGATATAAAAGATCTTGAGAATTAACAAATCTCAAATTAGTCAAGGTCTCACCCCTCCCTTCTCAGCTCCCTACGCCATTTATCAGCTGACTCTACTGGAAAGAAATAAATAGATGAAGAAAAACAAAACAAAACAAATTTTGGTTACAAGTAATCCTCTTAAGCCCAATTTAATAAAGCATGGATTTCTTTTTTATTGCCTATTTGCATCAGGAACATAATTACTAGCTAGAGTCTAATTTGAGAATGTTAATTATGAATGAAAGATGTAATATTTTAAGAACAGAATGGAATTCACTACTGCTGTATTGCAGAGACATTAGTAAGATTTAATCATGCTAGTGAGGTTGAAAAATAAGTTATATATATTATTTTTCTTTTCCAAAACCATGGATTTCAGTGACACTTTATAACTGTGTACTTTGGAACACTGATAAAAAATTAAGCTGGGTGCAACAGCTCATGCCTGTAATCCCAATACTTTGAGAGGCCCAGGCGGGAGGATCGCTTGGGCTCAGGAGCTCAAGACAACCCCAGGCAATATGGCAAGACCCTGTCCCTACAAAAAAGAAAAAATTTTCTGGGCATGGTAGTGAACACCTGAGGTCCCAGTTACTCAGGAGGCTGAGGCAAGGGGATTGCTTGAGCTGGGAGGTCAAGGCTGCAAAGAGCCATGGTAGAGCCACTGCACTCTAGCCTGGCTAACAGAGGGAGACCTCGTCTCAGGGAAAAAAAAAAAAAAGTAAACAATGATCTTGTTGAATATTCTGCCCTCATATTTACTAGTCTTTAAAATTTAAATTGAGCATCTTAAATCTAGATGAGTGAAAAATGTTGGAGACTTAAACTTATCTATACTGTCACTTTAGGTCCTTTAGAAATGAAGAATTTACTTTATAAAGTATTTATATTTTTTCTCATATCTTGACAGTAGTCCTACCATGGCTCTTTCCTTTGTTTTAAAGAGGATAGTGGCAGGCTTTATTTTAATTTGCATCTATTCTTCAAAGTACATTTACTTGATATTTCTCAGTCTCTTGAAAATTTTTATCATTAAGCTTAACCTTCATTTAAGTCACCAGATCTATTTGATAAAGACTATATGAATATTTATTTGCGAACTATATAGAAAATTACTGTTTTAACATTTACTTTCTGAAAGATCCATTGTAGAACTTGAACTGGGTGTATTTGCCAGACCCCTTAAAATGGATCACAATTATGTCTTTGCATGTTTATTTTATAGGATAATAGCTAAGACAATTTTTCTTCCTAAACTATTTGTTTTATTCAATATTTCCAAAATATTTATTGAAAATGTATCAAGAAATAAGAATTTGGTGAAAATTATGTGACTTAAGTTTATGTTTTAGTATGCCAATGAGGTTAAGGAAATAAGTATTTTAATTATTATCAATTTTAAAAATTAGGAGCACAGAAAATAAGCTTCTTTATCCAAAGACATTTCTTAAAGTGAAATCTTCTAAAAAACTGCTAGCCTCCTCTTTTATCCAACAAACCATAAGAAATGTTATTAAATGTAAATAAGGTACATTATTTGCCTGCAAGATTCCCAAGCGTGGCCACCCCTAGTAAGGCCACAGACTTGGTGGTAAAGAAGTTACCATTAGTTGGTGATTTCTCCTAACCATCCATTTCAGAATTTATCCCCAGGTCTCTTTGAAACCCTATATTCCCAACATAATTGACCTTATTTACGCGGCTCAGCAGCAGCAGCTAACTTCTCTCAGCCTGTTAAGGGGAGGACAAGGAGGCAGCAGTGTTGGGGATGCCAGCAGCCTATGGAGTGACTGGAATAGACATAATATAAGAATAGATTACATATTATTACGTACAATAAATTTTTACGGCTTTTACAGATTGAATAGCCCATATGTTGCAGAAATTTAGGTAATTTTAGTCTCATATGTTCTATAATCAGCAATGGCCTAGGCTTGCTAAACATGTTTCATTACCACCCACAAAGCATTTACAGAATGACTGGTTATTTTATATCTAGTAAATCTTGTCTAAATATTTGTGGTTATGCTGGCAAATTTTTGAAATGTGCTATTTATTTTTACAGGAGCTTGAGAACTGAATCAAACACTTCAGGTATGGAACAAATGCCACTACATATTTTATTGTGATCCCTGGTATCCAGTAGTCATCTCTGGTTCCTCCAAGAGTAGGGTGGTTAAAAGCAAAGGAATTCAGCTAGACTTTTTGATGCCTTTCCTTTCTTTACGATGCTCCATTCTGAGAATCCTACACTGAAGAAACTCTTTCTCAAAGCTGATCCTCAGGCTATCTTCCAAGTGGAAAACATTATGGTACTTTACTACTTCACTTTTCTTTTTCTGCACTGGTTTAGTTTCCCAGTTCCCTGGATCTAAATCATCAGGCATAAACCACGCCAAGCCTAATTCTGCAGACAGCATGCAAACTACAGCAATCATAGGACCTGTCATCCTTGCTGATATGTAACGGGAACGGTCCACAACTAAATTTTTGGTAAATGTAAAATTATCCAGCTCCTCTTTTTTCCTCCTACATCTTTAGCCTTTCCCAGGTGATACTATTTAATGTTTTTGTTTGTTGTTTTTTTGTGAGGCGTAGTCTTGCTCTGTCACCCAGGCTGGAGTGCAGTGGTGTGATCTTTGCTCACTGCAACCACTCTGCCTTTCGGGTTCAAGTGATTCTCCTGCCTCAGCCTCCTGAGTAGCTGGGATTACAGGCATTCGCCACCACGCCTGACTAAATTTTGTATTTTTCACTATGTTGGCCAGGCTGTTCTCAAACTCCTGATGTCCAGTGATCTGCCCGCCTGGGCCTCCCAAAGTGCTGGGATTATATGAGTGAGCCACCACTCTGGGCCTATTTAATGTTTGGGTTTTATTTGGCGGTGGGGAGTGATGTTTTTTCTTTATATATTGCCATGTTCTAAGAATCTTTAGCCTGTAATGAACTTTTAATGTGGAGGTTGTCTTATAGGCACCTCTTATAGTTTGTCTTAGAGGCAAATCTCTCTCTTTGCTGAGTGCTAAAACAGCTCTAAGTTACTTTCAAACCTGGGAGACAGACCAAGCCTCAGCTTCAGTCATGCACATAAAAGAACACTATGGAAGGAACATTTAACTTGGCATAAGTGAAGAAAAAAAAAAAATACTACTTCAAAAAGCAAGAATACTTGAAGGCAGTTTTAGTCACACGTACAAGAGTCAGTCCCACAAAAAAAAGCAAATTATTATAGGATAGGATTTTACACAAATGGGACTCGTCTTTGGACCTTCCCATTGGGCTTTTTTTTTTTTTTTTTTCTGAGATAGGGTCTCGTTCTTTCACCCAGGCCAGAGTACAGTGGCACAACCTTGGCTCACTACAACCTTCTCCTCCTGGATTCAAGTGATTCTCCTGCCCTAGCCTCCCAAGTAGCTGGGATTACAAGTGCCCGCCACCACGCCTGGCTAATTTTTGCATTTTTAGTAGAGATGGGGTTTCACCATGTTGGCCAGGCTGGTGTCGAACTCCTGACCTCAGGTGATCCACCCGCCTCGGCCTCCCAGAGTGCTGGGATTATAGGCATGAGCCACTGCACCCTGCCCACATTGGGCTTTAGTGTCTAAAAGTACCAGATGAACTTCACTGTAATGTGGTTTGGCCTATATTCCAATCTATACTATTGAACCTGAGAACATTATAGGGAAATGCTATCATAACTTATAAGAAAAGCGCAAAATCTCCTTTGCAGTACAGAATTTTAATCTATTAATTTCTACCCTAAACTGTATTTCATAAAGAAATCAAACTAAATTTGTAGAAATTTCAGAGAGATCTAGTATAGGCAAATATTTTCCTCTTAGTTTCTTAAGCAAGGGTAAATCTACTAGCAGCCTTACTACTATTAAAAATATTACATGCAATTAGTACACTCTATGTACATTCTAAGACAGTCATGTATTTAGCCATGGAAGTTTCAAATTAATGTAAAGCATCGACATTGTTGTCTTCATTCTCTATGTGACTAATTATTTTACCTGTTTTCTAGCACAGACTCAGTTTTGTCTAATTGAACAATTTGATTCCTACCTATCATATATGAAGCACTGTGCAGGCTGTGGGAGGGATTAAAAAAGAATTGGACATAGCTGGGCATAGTGGTGTGTGCCTGTAGTCTCAGCTACTTGGGATGCTGAGGCAGGAGGATGGCTTGAGCCTGGGAGTTTGAGGCTGCAGTGAGCTGTGATTGCACCACTGCACTCCAGCCTAAGCAACAGAGTGAGATGCTGTCTCAAACAAAACAAAACATAGTAAAATAACAGAATATGTTACCTGGCCTTAGGACATGTGCACAAATAATAAAACCAGAATGTATGTTAATTAAGTATATGTTAAGAGAAGAGTCCAGAACTTAGTTTTGGCTCAGGAAAGGAAATAATGAGACTCCATGAAAAAGGCAGGGCCAGGTGCAGTGGCTCACGCCTGTAATCCCAGCACTTTGGGAGGCCAAGGTGGGCAGATCATGAGGTCAGGAGATCGAGGCCATCCTGGCTAACACTGTGAAACCCCGTCTCTACTAAAAAATACAAAACAAAATTAGCCGGGCATGGTGGCAGGCACCTGTAGTCCCAGCTACTCGGGAGGCTGAGGCAGGAGAATGCCGTGAACCCGGGAAGCGGAGCTTGTAGTGAGCCGAGATCGCGCCACTGCATTCCAGTCTGGGCGAAAGAGTGAGACTCCATCTCAAAAAAATAAAAATAAAAATAAAAAAAGGCAGTCTTTGAGTTAGGAAAGGGGAAAATGAGGATATCCTGAATATAGGAAATGGGGTGAGCAAAATCAAACTAATGGGAAAGTATTGGGCATCTCCAATTCAGGAGTAGTGAGACATGTGGCTGGAAAGCAAGGCAGGAGCCAAATTACGGAAATAACGGATCATGCTAAGAAGTTAGGTAGCTAAAAAGGAGCCACTGAAAGACAGAGAAATGACAACATTAGTGTTATATTTTAGGATAATTACTCTGACTGCAGTCTCTAAGAGAAGCTGGAGGAGGCTAGAGGTAGGGAGACCAGTTAGAAAGCTACTCTAACAGTCAGATGAAGTGTGCCAAAGTCTGAACCAGGTGAGGAGCAGTCACAGTGGAAACAAGGACATGAATCCATAGTCAACAAGAGTTATTGACTTACTGCCTGTGGGGACCAGAGGAAAAAAAACTGGGTATGTCAGTTTGGGAGACAACATGATGATTAGGTGATAGTAACCTTATGAAACAAGCTGGGAGAAGGAATTGGAAACATTTTGGAGGGGAAAAATTAAGAAATCAACTCTGAAACACTGAAGTTAGAATCAAATGCCCTAGGTTTTGGTTCTAACTACACTTCCTGTATTACATGGTCATTAATCTCTCTGGGCCTCAATTTCCTCAACTATGAAAAGTGTGTGCAAGTGGCTGGGGTGAGGGGAGGAGGAGGGCATGATTAGTTGTCTCAAGACCCTTTTGGCAGTTAAGATTCTATGAGCTGCCATGTTTGTAGTTCTGGGGCTCATCTTTGACAATCTAGCAGGCAGCTTGCAATGGGGATTTGGAAATCAGGAGCTAAGCAAAGATACAGCAAATGAGCAGCAAAATTCCACTCTGGGCTTGTTAAATCACAAGGGTGGTACAACATACAAAATGGGCATGCAGTTTTCCACAAAGTATTAATTATTTTCTCTGTTTTTTCTTATGTATTTCTTATTTCTTTCCACCTTTTTCTCCCATGTTTTCCCACTTTTCTCTTACTTAGGCTTGTATAGTTTTTCAGTTTTTCCCCTGATTAGCATTTCTTTCCCCATTTTCACTCTCCTCTAAATCACCTGTTCTCCTTCCATACACTTTTACTCTCAACACCCTGTACCCCAAGAAAAGCAGACTAGCTGAATCTTAATCCCTCATTTTATTAAATGTAATTGGAGTGCAAATTAAAAATGAGTCTGTAATTCTAATTTATATTATATGTGGAAATCAGAATAACAACTGCTCTGCACAGTAGTAAAACAAATTCCTGGCACTGTTAAGCTCATCTGATTCACATTCACCCAGCTCCTGGGCAGTGCTAGTTAGGGACCATGATCTCAAATTCATCTTCTCAAACCTCTCAACAGTTTGTGAAAATTACATTTTTTTCTCCTTTCTGCATAATGTTTTGGGATAAAGTGGCACTTCAAATGCACTGTTTGTATGACAAGTTTAAGAATGAAATAGGGTCCACATTAAATTTGTCTCTCTGGATCTGGGTTAATTTCTCTTTCTTTCTCTTTCTCTCTCTCTCTTTCTTCTTCTTTTTTTTTTTTTTTTTTTTTTTTTTTTTTTTTTTTTTTTTTTTTTTTTTTTTTTTTTTTTTTTTTTTTTTTTTTTTTTGTAGAGATGGGGTTTCACTGTGTTAGCCAGGATGGTCTCAATCTCCTGACCTCATGATCCGCCCACCTCAGCCTCCCAAATTGCTGGGATTATAGGCATGAGCCACTACGCCCGGCCCCATTTTTCTACTTTCTGAACTTTAAGTTTTTGCCTTTCTAGGATTAATTTTCCTTTACTTTTTAATTTTTTTTTATAGTGAGCCCAAATTATAGGCTTATCTCTGGTTCTTTGATATTTTTTCAGAGACAAAGGATAGAGATTCAAGAAAAGAACAGAAGGGAAAATCACATTAAATATTGGGAGTTTCCTTCCCACCCTTACCCATCTTTCTTTTCCATGTTCCTCTTAAATATTACAAACCAAATTCCTTGGAATCCTAAGCAGCCAGGTTTATTCTTTGTTTATAAAACCCAGGCTTAATAAAAAAGGAGGGAGCCCTCTAAAAGGGAACCTGCTTGTGAAATTCAACAATAGGCTCCATTGCAAGAATAAATACATTTTTGATGAGGTGGTTAGGACATAATCTGAATTTCACATTCAAAATAAGTTCTTTCTCCTTCTGTGCCTTTTTTTTTTTCCTGCTTTTGACTTTTTTTCTTTCTTTCTCACTTCCTCTCTATTGATCTCTTCTCTACTTTCCCTACTCTTTTTCTTTTTTCCCTCTGGTTCTCTCCCCTCATATCAAATCTCCTTCTAATTTCCTCAAACTTGTGCCTCATCTGTCTCCCCTTTTCTCAAGGGAATGAATGTGAGGAAAGAAAAGTAAAACAGAAAAAGACAAAGTTGGTGGAAAAACATGTAAGACAACCGAAAGGTAACTTTTTAATTATAAGTCTCTATAGGAATACATGATAGCTATGATACTGTCACACAAAAAAGTTGTCAGTAAGTGGGGTCTTTTAACATTAAATCTTATTCTACTGTAGTAACAATATAAGTGGAATGAAATGTTAGGGGTTTGTTGTGGTTTCTGCTCTAGAATCCATCATGGGTCAAAAGATAACATCAGCACAGGGAAGAGGAGAGGGGGCTTCAGGTGAGGCACTGGAAGAGAATTATGTGTTGTGCTACCATAGCGATTCCTCTCATTTCTGTACTTCTTTGCAACCTTATCATGCTATTTCCCAACCTGCTTTTTAGATCAGCCAATACAATTAAGACCTCTTTTTTTCATAGCAAAAGGATACGGATATTCGTAGAGTGCCTGCACGGCTGTCATGTACAGTTGTGTAGCTTGTACACACCATCCATGTTGTAGTTTATGTGCAATTCATAATCTGCACAGCTGTATGCGGTGGCCCTGGCCTACTGTATTCTAAGTTTCTTTGAAACACCAGCTCTGCAGTGCGTTGCTGAAGAATGAAACTTCTCTCAGCCATGATAACAATACCCGGTAGCACAGAAAGAGTTGAAGCAAATGCAATTCTAGGGCCATTGTGTCTTCTGTTGCCTCCTTCATAAAGCTAATGCTGTGTGTGTGTGTGTGTGTGTGTGTGTGTATGTGTGTACCAGGGCTGAGTTCACAGAATTGAAGAGGGGAGGTTGGTGGACCACGGTGGCCTGGGCAGTAACCCCTTCCCCATCCTGGCAGGGCCTTACTGATGGAATCAAGGTGCCCACTCTTCTGTCCATCCTTCTGTCACTCTGCCACCAAAAAGCCAGCTTAGCACTTGAGCATTTTGTTTATTTACTTGTTTATTTTTTCTGTTTTGTTTGTTTGTTTGTTTTTGTTTTTCGAGACAGAATCTTGCTCTGTCGCCCAGGCTGGAGTGCAGTGGTGCAATCTCGGCTCACTACAACCTTTGCCTCCTGGGTTCAAGTGATTCTCATGCCTCAGCCTCCCGAGTAGCTGGGACTACAGGCACATACCACCACGCCTGGCTAACTTTTGTATTTTTAGTAGAGACAGGGTTTCACCATGTTGGCCAGGCTGGTCTCAAACTCCTGACCTCAAGTGATCTGCCCGCCTTGGCCTCCCAAAGTGCTGGGATTAAAGGTGTAAGCCACCGTACCTGGCTGAGCATTTTGTTTATTAACAGGGCCCCGCCAAGATACACACTGTAGGTGAAAGGTAATGGACCAGAGCAGAACAATGTGGCTGAAAAACAACAAATGTCCACACTCAATAATCCCCTGGCCTCCATATACATTTCCTGATCTGTACCTGTTCTTTTGTGACTTCTTTCCCCCTTAAGAATGCTCCTGCCAGGCACAGTGGCTCACACCTGTAATCCCTGCACTTTGGGAGGCCGAGGCGGGTGGATCACAAGGTCAAGAGATCGAGACCATCCTGGCCAACATGGTGAAACCCCATCTCTACTAAAAATACAAAAATTAGCCGGGAGTGGTGGTGCGTGCCTATAATCTCAGCTACTTGGGAGTCTGAGGCAGGAGAATCGCTTGAACCCGGGAGGTGGAGATTGCAGTGAGCTGGGATTATGACACTGCACTCCAGCCTGGCAACAGAGTGAAACTCCATCTCAAACAAACAAACAAACCAACCAACAAACAAACAAAACATGCTCCTAATATTCCCCGTAACTTGCTGTATAGTGTGGAGACAGTGATGGGTGGCATACAGGGTGACACGTGCTGGCTCCTACATCCACCTAGACAGAGTCCAAAGTCCTGCCATCTTTCAATATAGTATGGAATTTAAACAGAGAAATTACTTTCAAGATAATTCAATATTTTACAATGATTTCAATCCCTTGATGGATATATTCAGCAACAAAATTTCAAAAATTAGGGTCTCATTAAGACAGAGCTGCAAATGCAAAGAATGACAAAAAAATTATATATACCATATTTAAATTTTGACTTATTAAATTGAAAAGGTTGCTCGCAAATACTTATATTTTGAATAGCTGATATATGGGAAAAAGTAGATTTTTTTTTTTAATGGTAGAAAAAGTTAGTTACTAATACAGACTTCATATTGTTACAAATAATGTGAAAGATTTCATCTTATTACCACTGAAGTAATGTGAAAGTTATTTGAACTCTTATTTACTATAGCATATTATGATGTTTATAGGTCTTATGACCAAATCTTAGGACTCAGTACAGCACAGATTAAGAACTTGCAAAGAATTCAATAGCAGGTATAGAATTTTAATTTTATTTTTTGTTTGTTCTAATTTTTGCTAGAAATTTAAAAGAGTAAAAGCCCATAATCTTAATCTTAACATCCTGAATGGATAGGTTTTTCCTTGAGTAGAAACAGCTTTTAAAAACAACAATTTTAAGAAATTAAGTTTCTTGGCCGAGTGCGGTGGCTCACGCCTGTAATCCCAGCACGCTGGGAAGCCAAGGCAGGTGGATCACCTGAAGTCAGGAGTTTGAGACCAGCCTGACCAACATGGTGAAACCTTATCTCTACTAAAAACACAAAAATCAGCTGGGCATGGTTGCTGGCACCTGTAATCCCAGCTACTCGGGAGGATGAGGCACGAAAACTGTTTGAACCCGGGAGGCAGGGGTTTCAGTGAGCCGAGATTGTGCCACTGCACTCTAGCCTGGGTGACAGTGAAACTTTGTCTCAAAACAAAAAAAAAAAAAAAAAGAAATTAAGTTTAATAATGTTTTAATGGCTAGATTAAAAAAAATGAGATCTTATTCATCCAAAGGATCTTTATTTTTTATATCAAGAAGAAAAGTTGTAGTATAAATATACTTTTCTATGTTTCATTCATTTATTTTACCTGTATTTAGTTTCTCTTGTCTTATACTTAACAGTAACAACATTAAAAATATTCTGTATTTCAGACTTTTGAATTAAATGGACTGACTTCTCCACCTTTTCTAAAAATCAGATACAAACTACTAAATTAAAAAGCAAACACAGCTCAGGAAAAGACATTCAGCGCAAGAGGAAAACCAAGCAGTGTCTTCTATGTGGCAGAAATAAAGCCTATTACTAATTATTAAGAATTCAAATCCATGTCAACCTAATTTCATAAAACTTAACTATTTTAATTGTGGATATCTATTTTAAAGGAAGCTAGAGGATTATGCAAAACTATAAGATTTTCAATTCATAAACTCAGTTTTTATTCATGGGGTTTCTTTTCTTTGGGATTGATGGAAAAATTTGTTATTCTCTTGGTTTCACTTTTCTCATTTGTACATTAGTCCAACACTGTTTTGTTTCTAACATTGGAGAATGTGGGATCATTCAAAGTGGGGACAGTGTTCATTTCATCTTTTGTTCTAACTGAGTACCTGGTGCTGAGTATTATTGAATCAGTGTGTCATTTTCAAACCAGTTAAAAAAAAATCCATGTACTTTTAAAAATAAAAAAGAAACTACAGACAGTCCCCATCCAGAGAATGGTTTGACTTTTTAAAAGCCATCGCTTATTTTCTAAAAGCTGCCAGTCATGCTACAACATGTTTTTTATCCATTATCTCACTTAATCTTCACAGTAATATGAGGGACACTATTATTTTTCCTTGTTTTACAGGTGGTGAAAGTGAAGCTTAGAGGTTAAAGTTACTTGTCCAAGTCACACAGCTAGAAAATGGTAGAGGTGGCCTCTGAACCCAAGAAACCCAACAGCCAAGCTAAATGCAAATTTGCGATTCACATTAGAACTCATGCTTTTAAATTCAGAATAAGGGTAGTTAGGTTTTTTAAAAAGCTATAGAAATATATTTAACTCAAATTTCACACAAATAGTACTGGTTTTTCTACTGTGAACTGAGAATATCTCTTATCTCCATCTTTCCCTTCCTGTCCCACAGGCAACCCTCTAGAACTGGGCAGTCCAATACGGTGGCCAGTAGGCATATATGGCTATTGAGCACCTGCAGTGTAGCTAGTGTGACTGAGAAACTGAATTTTAGATTATTTTAAATAAATGTAAATTCTAATTTTAAAACTAGAACAGTGTAGAATATTTTTCCATTAAATGCAACTTTATTGTTTTGGTAGGGCTACATTTTTCACTTCAACTGTTGAAAATCTAGTGTCCAAATTGAGATATACTGTAAGTGTAAAATATATGCCAGATTTGGAAGTCTTTGAGAAAAGAAGAGTGTAAAATATTTAATATGTGTTATATTGATTATATGTTTAAATAATATTTGAATATATTGGTTAAATAAAAATATTTAAGGATTACTTTCATCTGTTTCTTTTTACTTTTTTGGTGTGCCTATTAAGCAATGTGTCACAAATTACATATATGAAAAAAAAAATGTGGCTCATGATAGATTTCCATCAGATAACACTGCTCTAGAGAAAAACCATCTACCCAGTCTCTTGGCCCACAGTCTAGGGAATTCCTCCTCCTCTTCTCCCTGCTGTTCCAAAGTCAGAAGGTTTCCAACCTTCACAGTCAGGAGTAAACACAGAGATTCCACGAAACCGAGAGGAGACTAACGTTTTTAAGTTAGGTATATACATAAACCAACAGTTTCTAATTTGGAGATGGCTATATCATCATAGAAACTGTTTTCTTGATACAGATTGTCGGTAACTTTTACTTTTGTTCGCTTGGGGGGAAAAAGATTATCTGATAAATTGATTCTTACAGGTAGAAAGCTATAACTATAAGTTACAACTTTCTATCTAGCAACATAATCCTTCAAAAGGCAACATACACTGTAGTTGGTGTACAACCACCTTGGAAAAGAGTTTGGAAAATTAAGTTAAGACATATGATCAGCTGGATGTGGTCGCTCATGCCTATAATCCCAGCACTTTGGGAAGCTGAGGCAGGAGGACTGCTTGGGCCCAGGAGTTTGAGACCAGCCTGGGTAACAAAGTAAGACCCCGTCTCTACAAAAAATTAGCCGGGTATGATGGCCCATATCTATAGTCCCAGTTACTCAGGCGACTGAGGATGGAAGACTGCTTGAGCTCTGGAGGTCGAGGTTGCAGTGACCCATGATCATGCCACTATACTGCAACCTGGGTAACAGAGCAAGACCCTCTCTCAAAAAAAAAAAAAAAAGATATATGATCAAATTTCAAAAAAATCTAAAAACATGTTCACAAGACACATATTCAAAATAAGACTCATACACAAATAGTCACAGTTTTGTTCATAACAGCAAAAAACTGGAAACACCCAAATGCCCATCAACTGGTGAATAACTATACAAATTGTTGTATGGTCATACAGTGATACTGCTTAGCAACAAAAAGAAACTTAACTATTAAATACAAAAGTTCTCCCTTATCCACAGTCATGCTTTCCACAGTTTTAGTTACCTGTGGTCAAAAAATATTAAATAGTTCCAGAAATAAATAATTCATAGGTTTTAAATTACATGCGATTCTAAGTAGCATGATGAAATCTCACACCATCCCACCTGCAACAGGGATCATCCCCTTGCAGCTATCCAGGTTGTTTATGTTACCTGCCCCTTAGTCAGTAGCCTTCTCGATGATCAGATTGAAAAACAGTATACACAGGGTTCTGTACCATCCAAGGTTTCGGGCATCCACGAGGGGTCTTGGAAGGTATCCCGTGAAGATGGGGGGTGAGTGGACTACTGTAGGTACAACAATACATGGATGAACCTTAGAAACAGGTTGGGTACATGCTATATAATTCCATTTATATGAAGATTTAGGAGACAAAACTAATTTATAAAGACAAATCAGATTGGTGGTTGCCTGGGGTTGTGGGTAGCCAGGAGGATATTGACTGCAAAGTAGTTTGAGGAAACTTTTTAAGGTGATGAAAATGTCTTTTTTTCTTTTCTTTTCTTTTTTTTTT